CTGTACAAATCATTCTAATAAGATAAGAAAAGATATTCTACATCTATAGATTGAACTTTCTTTTGTGCTTCATTAAGTTATATTTTAAAAAAAGTTGGAGATTTCATTTTTGATGCAACATGTATTTTGATTTTTGGCTTGAGGTGATGCTTCCAATGAATACTGCAAGTTGGGGTGCATCATCTGTGTGCAGTGCCATAACGACTCTCCAAGTTCATTAATATTACGGATCGTTAAATATAAATTCATTTGATTTGTTAAAGTCAGAGCCTTTGAGAGGCAGAGAACAAAAGCTCTCAAAACCCTAGCCGCAAACATTATCTCCTCTCCTCCGCCTCTCCAGCTCCGGTCTCACCGCCGGTTGCTNCGAGAGGGCTTCTCTTCCTTCCTGATTTTTCNTTTGCCTTGTTCTTCATCGGGATCTTGGGATTGTTCTAAATAAAGGGGATCTTTCTTTCTCGGCGCGGCGGAGGCCGGTGGCCCCTGGATCTCTACGGTTTCTCTCCGATTCCCTCACCTTTCCTTCTTTCTTGAGACTTCGAAGAGGATCTTTGGAAGTTGTCTCGGGGATCGGCTTGACGAGATATACGGCCAAGGATTCTCTCACTTGGACCACGGCGGCGAAGCTTCTTTGGGGGAGATCTGGGGTGGCGACAGTTGACGGTGACGACTGGATCTTTGGGGCGAAATCACCGAGTGATTCATCTTTATCGGGACGGAGGCGTGGGTCTCTCTTTTGCTCCACTCCGATCCGATTGAAGCCCCGGTGCTTGAGGCGGTACTTGGGCTTCGGGTGGGCTGCTCGGCGGTGGTGCGTCGGGACCCTAAATCATCGTTGGTCTCACTGGCGGCGCACGGTTTTTCTCGGATCGGTCAAGCCTCATGTGCGACGAGGTGTGGCCTCTTCTTTTCCCCCACTTGTCGCATATGGGACTATGTTTCAGGTGGGTCTCTCGTCGGTGAAAGAATCTGGATCTGGTTCATGGTCGCTGGTGCGGTGGCCGGAGGTTCCGATCTCTGCGTGATTAGGGTATTAGTTGGGCTTGGGCCTTTTTGTAACTCTTGTTTTAGGCTTTTCTCAGGATCTGACCCATTTGGTCTTTTGTAAACAGTTCTTAGTTTATATTCTATGAAAACCCTTTAANAAAAAAAAAAAAAAATTAAATCTATATGACCATTTATAGAAATGAAAACTTATTTTGCCAAACGATATACAATATATATCCTCAATGATAAATTTTTTCTTTGAAACGCAACAAAAGTTATATTTTTAATAATTCTTTAAATGTTTCCATTTCAGTTTTACATATGTTTTCATTGATCTTATTTATAGATAAAATCCTACACGTTATTTTGATATTTTTAATTCCAAATATTATTATACACAATATTTTAATGTTTGAGATATTTATAATTTAGAATTATTGCTTACGTGAAAATGTAAAAATATCACTATTTTTCAAACAATACATGTCCTTTAAAGCTCAAAAAGAAAGCAATACATTTTTTTGTTAATAATAGAATCGTTTTGTCATTCTCTATTTAATCTATCGCCATCTTATAATTAGA